ACTCTCCTGATCTACCGAGTATTATATCTTGTTTTTAACACACTTCGTGCACCATTCTTCCCGCCTGGGCCCAGTTCTCGCTGTAGGTCGATATCGCTTCTTTGATGTAGTTGTATTGATTTGATGATACTATCACTCCGCTATATCGTTCACTCTCACGGCACGGCTACCTACAAGCCTGTCCTCTTACTCACCGTGCATATTTCTCGCCTTATTGTAATCTTTACTGGCTGGATGCCACGGACACTAGCTCCTCACCTCCATACTCCCTCAAGCAAGAGTGGATATCATTTATCTAGGAAACTCAGCAGATACAACCAATGAATCCGCAGCCCTTTTTTATATTGAGGGCATAGTGTCCAAATGTCCCTTTTGGGGAGTATTTTTGGTATAATCAATCTAACGATCGATTATCGCAAGGGGAAACGCAAGGGTGTGACAGGAAAGTCCCAGATTGACAGAGCTGGAAGAGTGAAAGAGAAAGAGGTAAATTAAAGCATTGAATCACAGTGCTGCATCCCACATCATATATCGTATATTGCTGCATTATCTACACCCAGATGGAAGCCTCCAGAGATCTTATTCGCTGAGGAGTCCGGCGCCGTAATAGAAGTTGCAATGGACGTGTTGCCCGCGCTTGTAGTGTGGGTAGCGCCAGTTGTGTCCGTGTGGCCAGGAGATACAGTGCTGACATTGGTATTATTCGAGCCCGAAGCGGTAGTGGTGGTAGTAGTAATGGCGCTAGTTATGCTGACATTCGCAGAACTAGAAAATTGTCGGCAGCACTGGTAATTGTCCCAGCCGGACCCCCGAGAGTCAACGTTTGTCCGCTGTAGACAGCTGTAGTAGGCACCACGTAAACATATGTGATTGTGATTCCAGTGTCGAGGTTGACGATCACTACCGCCTGCCCCGAGGCTGATTACCTGATGAGTGGTTGTTGATGCCGCGTTATTGGCACTGGCACCCGAGACTGAAGCATTAGCAGCACCAGTTTGGCTTGCGGCATCAGGAGATACGCTGCCACAATTGGTAACCGTCACAGCCGGGCCTCCTAGAGACAATGTTTGTCCACGGCCACGCTGGGTTAATGGATAGAGAGGAGGTACTAGATCTTATGTTGTAGATCACCTAAGCCCGCCTAATCATTGTTCTCTGGATGTTGCCAAATATGACTTCACGCTGCCACAATCGCCACTTGGCTGAGATTACAACCCTATTCGTTCTAGTCAAGGGCTCGTAGTAGGTGGATGGGTTTCATCGGCCACTACGGCATTACACTTGTCACTTTAAACCGATAGGGCCGTAGTGGTCGATGTGACCCACCCTCACTATTAAGGCTAATCGCTACCCCGCACGCTTGGTTGTGCCCGAGAATAGAATTTCGGGTCTTAGAGACATGTGCCGTAACGGCTGATGGAACCAATCCACCCACGAGCCCCTGACTGGAACGGTCCGGGTTCTAATCTCCGCCAAGTAGCGATTATGGCAGCCTGGGGTGCTCCGGAGGACTTTGCCGTAAGTCCTTATCTGGGTATAGCACTAGTTAACTAGTTAATTAAACATCGATCGTATAACGTAACGTATTCGATAAGCCATCTCCATACTCCGTCGTAAATCCTATACATACCAACCCTTGTATATTGACAACCATTCATTTTCTACGTTATTTTTTTGTCAATAGCTATTGATAAGGCTTCTAAATATTGTACATCAATTTCAAGGAAATTTAACAGCTGAATTGTTATCGGGTCGAAAATTGCGTTGCTATCTACGTGCCGGAAATATATATCTCACATATTGAATGAATAAAATAAAATCGTAGTTTATCGCACTTAGGATTTGTTTTGGAGACTGCGGCTAACTTATAATGGCAACTCGCTTAGCGAATACGTCGTTTCTTTGTAGTGCCCAAATCTATGGGCTCAAACACGAGATAGGCTACGACAAGTGGGAAAGAAGCTAGTAACTTCCTAATTTTGACCGAAGGATCTGCCTCCATGTTAAGCTGTAAAGCACACTGCATCCGGGGAAGTAACCATGTCTGCAAGAAAATTCTCGCGCATAACCGGCTCTTCGGATAGCCCTGCAGCGTATCTGTGGAGATTCGAGTAATGAATTAGGATAAGCAGCAGAATCTCCAACCGGAACTCCAGGGCTGGTTCTTTTGCTTATCGCAAAGTTAAAATCGCCAAGCACTTGCCAAGCATTGGCTATAAACGAAGCTGCAGTTGAGTGAACTATAAGAAGCGTACGGTGAATCCCGCAAAATCTCCTGGGAGAGCAGCCCTCACCATACATCTTACCTCTTACCCTACACATGTCTCCCAAGATGCGTACTTATTTAAGCACCTGGACCCTTTTCCTGTCCTACTTAGGATGTAGTGCAGCGGCTCCAACAGTACCTATTCTCCCTCATCACCTGCTTGCACGCGACACCCATTTCAACAGCAGCCTTCCAAACATCACCATTTTCGCTACTGGAGGCACCATTGCCGGATCTGCTGCCTCGAACACTGCGACCACGGGATACACCGCCGGTGCACTTGGCGTCGACATCCTTATCCAAGCCGTGCCCGAGCTCTGGAACATCTCAAACGTCAAGGGTGTCCAGGTCGCTAATGTTGATTCGGGGTCCATCACCCCGGAAATTCTCCTGAACTTGACATCGATGATCCAAGAGGCTCTGGACGACCCATATTGCCAGGGAGCCGTTGTCACCCATGGAACAGATACTTTGGAGGAGTCAGCGTTCTTCCTTGACCTGACCATCAAGACGGACAAACCGGTCGTCGTGGTGGGTGCTATGCGCCCAGCAACAGCCATCAGTGCTGATGGACCCATGAACCTGCTGGAAGCTGTCACCCTTGCGGGAAGCCCCGAGGCACGTGGGCGTGGTACCATGGTGGTGCTGAATGACCGTATCGGGAGCGCCTTCTACATGACGAAAACGCATTCAAATGCCCTAGACACCTTCAAAGCATCCGAACAAGGCTACCTGGGCTTCTTCCTGGATACAAAGCCGCTGTTCTACTATCATCCCGTCTTGCCTATTGGCCGTGAGTACTTCAACGTCTCTGGGGCCACTGAATTGCCTGAAGTGGACATCCTATTCGGACATCAAGTACTCAACCCCAAGCTGGCTCGCTCTGCAGTAGAGAGTGGAGCAAAGGGTTTGGTCTTGGCTGGTATGGGTGCTGGAGGCTGGACATCAGCGGGAACAAATGAGATTGAGGATTTGGTTGAGGAATACGGTACGCAAGTCGTGGTTTCCAGCAGAACGATGGGGGGCTTTGTACAGACAGACGGTTCTGGAAATATGTACGGTGGACAGGACTTGAACCCCCAGAAGGCTCGTATAATGCTACAACTTGCTCTTTACGCAGGATACAGCTCTAAGCAGCTCGCAACATTGTTCGGGTTTGCACCTTGAGAACATGTTCAGATCTCGGCAATAGTCGGAGGATATATAGCAATTCCTAGTCATTAGCGCTTATAGATACAGTATGATAGATGATTTTAGGTATAACCTGTCCTCTAACCAAAGTTGCAGCCCCGAATTGAGATATAAGTGAGATGATCATTTCTACTCTACGGAAGAGCCATATATTCGTAGTCGTAGTGGCTCACGCCCCTCACAATGGCATTGTCAAGAATGACTTATTTAAGAACTAAGCTGTAACACGAATTTTGCTCGTGCTCTGCTCAGTGAGTGGGATTTGGCCGACAGCAGAGAATCTGAACGTCCTGCCGGTATAATCGTGCCAAGCGCTTAACACCACCATATCTGGTGTTAGGCGTTTGGCACGGTTAACGAACGGCAAAGATTCCAAGATTGGAAGGTGGTGTAGGTCCAACCGATTGGCCTGGATTATCTCCGACCGAGCTTATCAAGAACAGCATTGTGGCCAAACCTTCTGCCCACGTGGTTCAGGAGATTGTCTTATCTATAAGCGCGTTGGCTTTTTCCAGCTTATTCGCGTTATCTACAAGGGGATTTTACGTCACAATTTTACCGTATCGATAACTAATCAAGATATCAATTCAATGAATGATGAACCAGGTATCGTAGAGTAGATAGCCCACAAAAGGCCCCAAGCCCCTAGCCCACAGCCCATTTATGGGGGCCCATGAGGCCCCCATCGAAGCCCATTTCTGTGCATAAATACAGTCTTGGCACGCATAAAGTAGCTGATTAATGGCTGTATTTTACGTATGCACCAGCCTGTATATTTAGTATTATTATATTATCATAGTAAGAAGTGGGAATTAAGTAGATATCATACTCATTTTAGTATTATGATGCTAGGTTTCATACAAAATCACCACAAAAAAAATCCAATTTGACCCGTCGTCCACGAATTCGTACCTAGGAGGATTACTGAGTATTAGCATGAAGATGTATGTATTTATATTATGATTGATCGGCCTAGGTGACTGAGTTGTCTCTGTAGTAACGGTAATTTGAATACCTAAAAAAACCAGGAAAAATGCATTAATTATGTAGCCACGATAAATTGGCATGTTTGTATTGTTTTAGTTCATAATGGGGTCATTCCGGGCCCATAGCCCATCGATGGGCCCGAAGCATAGGCCCAAAACCCAGCCCATTTGGTGGGTTGGGTGGGGTTGGGCTGTGGGCCGGGTGGGCTTTCTTGAGGTCTATCGTAGAGAGTATTCAAAAATCTCAGGTATACCAGAGGGCATATTCTAGACTTCATATTTTCGAGGCGTGCTCTGTTTTACTCAGTGATTAAAAAGCGGCAACGGGTGAGCACTAAAACGGAAAGGGAAAGCCATGCTGTGCGGTCTAAAATTCGGTATATCTATAATCTAATATATATTCTTCTACATCTAGAAATCTGCCCCTAGTCGAATCATCTTTCAGACCAACGCACGAATAAAAAGCAAATTCTCTTTCGACAGTGTTATGGTTTGACCAGGTCTTGCGATATATGCAAGACGTGATACAGCCTGCTTTCAGAGACTAGCAGAGTATCTCATTCCACCCACGACTCAGGCAGAAGAGGGAATCCAGAACAGAGAGTAAGATCGTCATCATTCCAATTATCTAGTTGCAAGGTGAACTCCCCTGTGAGAAGCTGGTCCTGTGTCTCGAGATCATTGTATCTGCTCATGTGGGTAATACCAGTGTCCAATGTGATGCCTTCCAGCTCGTGTAGAATAGACTCGATGCGTTTTGTCTGCATGATGATCTCGCTTTTGGCTGTCTGGTGGATTTGTATCAGGAGTTCGATTAAGTTGGCACTGTTTGCGGTGATCAGATCTCGTTCGGTCTCGGAACCAGTCAACTGGCGCGAACTTATGTACTGCATCGCTCGGACGGAGACCCCCAACCCCAAACCGAAGATCTCAGCAGCGGTGGAGAAACACCCGGCAGCTTCGGCCTTGAGTAATGGGTGATCTCGGGTAAAAGAAGAAATGGTGTTTAAGAGGGAGCCAGCCTCGGTGAGAAAATCTCCCAGAACGTTCTCATTTAGCGTCCAGTTTTCAAAGGGTCCATGGGGAAAAAGCATGTGGATAATGATGGTTAGATAGGTGGCTTTGACAACCGCCTCGAGCGAACTGCTTGAGCTGGCTTCTTGCATCGTGCGCAACGCCTCCCGGAGACAGAGGCGGATTCTACTACATAATGATTCTTTGTCTAACCCGTTGCCGGCTAGCTGACGTAGTTGGTGTAGATGGCGGGTTTGGGAGGGAATTATGTCGTGGGATCCTGTGGTATTCTGGTACCAGTGTGCTAAGGTGTATACATGGCCCAGGGTTGCTGTGAGCTGGCTGAGTGGCCAGAGGAGTCGGGCTACCGTCGCCTGTGCCCGGATGGTTGATACTTGGGGGAAATCTCAGTTCACGGCAAGGTAAAGGGCTACGGGACTGCAATCTTACCGTGGCCAGAGGCAATGTCCAACACGGTCATGCGAGACGAGAACTCGTCGACTGGGGGGAAGCTGACAGGGATATCTGCCAACTTCTGAGGCGGTGAATGGCCGTCTTCCGTTTGCATCAGGATCCACAAGCGGAGTGAGGAGGTTACCGAGTCCATATTGTGCAGGACTTCGTGCTCCACATCGATGACCTGGAAACCGTTGATTTTAACGCGGTAAGGGGCAGTGTTGGGTGCTGTGGAGAGACGGCTGCGCAAATCGTTGATGATTTGGGCTGCCAGTTGAATGTAGCTCGTTGCCCGGCGAGCTTGAGAGCGGTGCAAATGATGCCAGCCCAGCAGCAATAAGGTCTGAGCAGTGCTAATGTCCGAGACGTTGACTGCTAAAGCACACACTTGAGACATGGACCACTCCGCCAGTGCTGCGCTTTCCACCAGCAGTGACGGGCGATTGGATTCGGGTACGTGAGTGGCTAACGTGGCCATCGCCTCTGAGAGAAGGATAGCGAGCAAAGCCTGATCATAGACTCCATCCTTGATGCTCTGCAACAAGAGAGTTTTGGAGATAAGGACGGAGAAAGGGTGAATGGAGAACCAGATGTCGATTAGCTGCATCATCCAGCTAGAGTCAATGGAAGTCAATGGGCTGTTGACGGAGACTCCCATATCAATTTCAAACATGGTTGCTGTGGTATCCTGCGCGAGACACGTCGTAAAGAACCTTGGCCGGTGTTCCGCTGGACCAAAGCCGAGATGACCAAATCGAAGTAACAACATCTCCAGCATATCAGGCGCTATTGAAAATAATGATGTCGTCAATGGCCGGTCTTCCACTGCCTTGGCCATGACCGGAGCTATTGGTCTATTTTTCATATTTTGCTGGAAAATCCTCTCCAGCTCTTGCCCACCTGTGCCATAAGCCAACCGCGGTGGCTCACTGCAATTCAGCTCTTGCAGATCTAGCTCTGGCTTCGTGAAGTTCGACTGAGGCACGGAGCATTTCCGTCGACCTCGCAGATTCTCTGCATCGTAGACACACACTTTGCCTTTTTGTCGACACATATCACATATGCTCTGACCCGAACATCTGACCTTGCGCGCCCTGCAGTACTGACAGCTGCGCCTCATAGGGGTTGGTGGGGACTTTGCTTGCGACGTCATTGTATAGAATCATCGTATTTACTTGAACCTCCCGCTTTCCTCGCACTCTTAGGGCCAGCCTGGTTGTTATAAATAGTGAACAGTGGCAACTATTCTGGCACCATTGTCGCGAGATAAGTGGGACCGGCCTTGCTGCTGTCAGCACTGATAGGATCAATGGACTGGCCAACTATTCTTACATCATTCTGGCTAGATAAGCGGAAAGGGTCTTGCTGCTGTCAGCACTAAGAGGACTGTGAAGGAATGCACTAAGAGGATTGCGAAGGAATGGGGGCGTTTTCTTGGCTACATCCTCCCGCGAAGGGCGTTTGAACCCATCACAGGAAGGTTTGGCTACTTTCGTGTTGAAGATCTTACCAGAATCCTTCACCTTACGTGGTTGATCACTTCCTTCAGGCATCGAAACGATTGACTTTCTTCCAAGATAGATTGATGAATCAGAATTGGATTTGTCCAGGATGTCGGACTTCTAATATTTTATACGTACTTGACTACACTTATTTTATTGCATCTGTCCTCGGCCGAGATCCTGTATTACATATAATTTAGTCTCCGAACATGGACATTCTTTCAGCCGCTGTTCAAACATACGACCGTTGCATGCAATGCGATATCTCTTACGCGTTAGGTGCATAAACACGATTGACCAATGCTAATCGAAGAATTGAGGTGAAATGAGCGATCCCTGCCACGTCATCCTTGCAGCAGGGTATGTACACCCTCTCATATGCATATTCCTCTGTACCCACTATTTCCTTATGCTATACAGAGTAGTCCCGTGGCAAAAGTTCCGGAGACCACCCCCTTGTCAAATAATCGGCTTTCTGCAGCTAACTTCAAACTTTATTTTTCTGGCTAAAAATTGAAGATAATCGGTACAAAACGTTAATAATCTTAGTGAGGCTTGAATTATGTAGAAAGAAAAGTGTGACAAGGGGTGGAATACTCATCAGTATCAATGTCACGCAACTGGTTGGAAAGCCCGTGAAGAAGCCATCTACCCCCCTTTGTAAGAAGTCTATCAATGTGGCTCTGCTAAGAAAAGTATAATTTTTGCTAGCGCAGTGTATGGCATATACGAATACTACCACATTTCCCAATCCGGACTGTAGAGGCGCTAAATCTTAATAAGAAAAGTCACGTATTGCACTACCGAGCTGGCCAGACCACCGAGCCTGCCCGGTAGTGAAACACGTTATAGTATTAGGATGACATAGAACCGCTAAAAAATACTACTTTGAAAGGTTCGGCATGATGATCCACATTGACAGACTTCTGACGGAGTGTATAGGTGGAGCAGGCGATCTAAACAAAGACGAAATTTGGGTGTGTCCAGACTTTTGGATCGCCATAGCCGAGTAGTACAATCTAGCGTGGTGTATTGTTTCTAGCGTGATTTACATGCCTTTTCTATACGCAGTGATCTTGGAAAATCATATATGTAAATCAAATCAATTCAAACACTGGATAAACAAGCTTAAACTTCGTACATGGACTACTTACTTCGAGACTTGCCGTCTCCCTTTTCTGTACTGTCTTAGATAAAACTAAGTGTTCCAGAGGGGTTTTCGTGTAGTTTTCGTAGGTGGTATACCTGCTATGCTAGGTGTAGCTTAGTGGTATAGTGTCTTGTGATGTAATAGATTACCGCTAGGCCTAAATCAAAGTAGGAATTGCGGAATATGAATGTTGGAGGGTGTACCCGTTCACGGGTGAGCCGACGGACGGCACAGACTTGTGTTGTTGCTTCTTTCCGATTGGTTTATTTTTTTCAGATTATGCTGTACAACCCGCACATCTACCCTGTTCAACCTATGGGGATGCTTAGTTATGTATTTCTTAGTTTCCACTTTCTATACTAGCTAGCTCAAGTTTAGTGTGGTGTATTATGCTTTCAGGCGGAAGCCATCAGGGTGATCGACGCATACTAACATTTGTGTTTTGTTTTGTTTATCTTACACGAAACGAGTAGCGCAATGACAGGGTAGGTACCCTTGGACATGCCAACTTTAGATAAAGCCTAACAGGGGATGGGCCGGAGATTTAAACCTGCATCGGAGGCTATTTCCTCCGGTTCGCAGACATATTCTCTCCGGTTCGCAGACATATTCTCTCCGGCTCGCAGACATATTTGAACGACTAGCTGACAAACGGGCTTCAAAAAACAATGGCTGAGAAATCAAAAAAAAAAAAAAAATCATGTTATGCTAGTGTTAGGTGTTGGGTATTTGTACGGAGTACAGAGATACAATTAAAAGGCAAAGCCCTCGTCTACGCGGTGTAGTTTCTGGCTCTTCATCAATAGTTCATTGGCATTTCCTCCACTATGAATCTCTTTAAGTCTACTGGCAATGCAGACCAGACTGTCTCTGATGAACAGAAAAGCGTTCACGAGGCGGGCGATAGTGGTGTTGTGACGCCAGTCAATGAGTCCGAGACCACCAGTGATAAACCGATCAACGATGCGTCCAACTTTCCCGATGGAGGCACCAAGGCGTGGTTGAATGTTGTCGGGGGGTGGTGTATCTTCTTTTCCATGTTTGGATGGGCCAATGGTGAGTAGTGGATGTCTGCTTGACACACTAGTGCTGACCCATGTAGCGTTTGGTGTGTTTCAGAGTTACTATCAGGAACATCAACTCAAAGATTATACGGCTTTTCAGATCTCTTGGATTTCGTACGTTGGCTGGAGCGCTCTAGATTGGATTGTTTGCTAATGTGTCTACAGCTCTATCCAGACATTTATTCTGTTCGGAGGAGGTATTGTGGCTGGCAAAGTGAGTGATTTAGTTACATCATCTACGGAATACATGTGTACTAAACGATTTCAGGTATACGATAACTATGGCCCCAAGGTGCTTGTATACACAGGAGTATTCCTCCACCTCTTTGGAATGATGATGTGCAGCATCTCTACCGAATATTACCAGTTTATTCTGTCCCAGGGTACTTCCCCCCTTTCTCACACAAAAAATCAAACAATAAATGCTAAGAATATACAGGCGTGTGCACCTCGATCGGCGATGCAGCACTATTTACCGCGTCACTCAGCACGGCCAGCACCTGGTTCCATAAGAAACGCGCCTTTGCATTTGGCATCCTGCTCACCGGCACGAGTATCGGCGGCGTCGTCATGCCCATCTGCCTCGAGCACTTACTGGGTTCATTGGGATTCGGCTGGGCTATTCGCGTCTGCACCTTCATCAACCTCGCTCTGCTGGTCATTGCTCTACCGACCGTGACCTCGCGTCTGCCCCCAACCCCGAAACCCGTTTCGGTCATAGACCACATCCGCCCGTTGAAAGAAGGGCCCTTCCTGATGCTCAGTGGCGGCTGTGCGCTGTTCTACCTAGGAATGTACCTGCCATTTAACTACATCATCGTCCAAGCCGAGTACGAAGGCATGTCCGCCGGGCTCGCCGGGTACCTCATCCCGATCCTCAACGGCGCCAGTCTCTTTGGCCGCCTCATCCCCGGGAAAATAGCCGACATCATTGGTAGATTTAACACGATGATAGCCATGTGCGGCTTTGCCGGTGTTATTGTGTTGGCGCTATGGTTGCCCGGCACCGCCAATGCGCCCATCATCGTCTTTTCGGCGCTGTACGGATTCGCCTCGGGGGCATTCATCTCGCTGATCCCACCGCTAACAGCGCAGATCAGTGATATTCGGGAAATAGGGGTACGATCGGGCACGCTGTGGTTGACTGTTGGCATTGCAGCGCTAGTGGCCAGTCCTATCGGTGGCGCTCTCGAGGCACGGGATGGAGGTGCATTTGTGGGACTGCAGATCTTCGCTGGGGTGACTATGCTTATTGGTACGGGGCTGTTTATTATTGGCCGGTGGTACCTTGCTGGATGGAATTTCTTTGCCAAAGTGTAGATATGATATCGACTACGAAGTAGAAAAGCTGATAGAAAATTGGGTTCAGCGTAGTTGATAATTATAATTATTGAATTTTTTTTACCCTTCCAAAGTTAATTATACCTCCCGATGTCGACAGCTGGCCGGAGATGGCCGACGAAGGAAACACACGATCACATCATGATACCAAAAGTCTCCGTTCGGCCCGATTTTACCACTAGCGTTGCCGAATTCCTCGTTCCCATTGGCCTTGGCAGGGGTCTAGATTACTGTGCATCATTAGCTTAATTGTGACCTCCATTGCTTGACCTCGCTTGACGGTGCTTGGGCTTTCTTGGCTGTCGTCATTCATTCGTGGAGAGGAAAAAGGCTGAAGTCTGACCTTCTTGGCGTCCGTTGATCCCGTTATCCAACTATTAGTGTGACGAACTGTGTGGGAACTAGATTGTTGGGTTACGTCTGTAGATGATTGGTTCGGAAGTTGGACACCGGCATCCGTCTCACTCATTGTATGTCTTTGGAAATATCCGCCGCCGCGAGGAGATTTGAACAGTGTTTCCGAGATAGAATCCGTGCGAGATAGAATCTGTCCAAAAGGTGATGATATCCAAAATGGATTGTAACAGGACTATCCCCATCGTCTCCCTCTCTCACCATATAGCGCAAGTTCACACACCCTGACCATTCAGACCTCTCCATCTTCATCCACCATTATATCCAAACATGGACTCCATCTTCCAAGTCCAGGGCAGCCCAAAGTCGCGCCTTGCGCCCCTCTTCCTGATCCACGCCATCTCCGGCCTGGCTATGCCATACAACTCACTCGGCTCCCTCGACAGTCGCGGACGGACCGTCTACGGAATCAGCTCTCCCCTCTATGGACCACGACGGTACCGTCTGCCATCCTCCATCGATGATGTTGCCCGCCAGTACATTCGTTTCGTGCGCAGCAAGCAGGCCACCGGCCCGTACGTGCTCGGTGGGTGGTCGTTTGGCGGCCTCGTCGCGCTGAAAATGGCCGAGCTGCTGACCGCGCAGGGGGAGACCATTTTGCAGGTCATTATGATTGATACGCCGAATCCCATCTCCCGTCCGCCTTGGGGTAGTGAGGGCCAAGAAGGGCTGGCAGCGCTCACGTACAATACCATTGCACAGCAAGCGGGTCAGCCAATCCTGAACGCCCGGCAGCCTACGCCCCCGGGGAAGGGGGAGGGTGAAGGCGCAGATGCGGACGACGAGTCGGCTGTCTTGTGGCAGAACATGTATAAGCATATCTACAATGTACTGGCGCTCGTGGAACGGGCCGCAGACGGCGAGTTTGTTCCCGCCTTGAAAGAGGTCAAGGTTTCGTTTGTCAAGTGCTCGGTTTTGGAAGTGCCTCCCTCAGGCTTGATCACGGAGCCCAGTAGGAAGTTTTATTTTGATCGCTACGAGGATGAGTATATGGGCTGGCAGCCTGAGCGATTTGCTGGCTGGGAAGGCTATACTCTAGCCGCCGAGCATAATAGTGTGTTTGAACCTGCTCATGTGGACAATTTGACTAGTATTTTGAGAGAGATAGTGGGCAAAGTTGTTGGATAGTTGTTGGATCATCCCTTAGATGTCTGCTTGGTTGTTAGCAGACTGAGCAGTTTGCTTGTCAGTCTGCCCTGCTTCTGATAGATTGAATATATCATGGTTCTATTTTCTTTCGCTCCCGCGGTTACTTGTAGCCATAAGAATAGTTGCTAGAGATATTAATATCAGCTTCAGAAGGTCATTTGATCTATCAGCTAGGTTGCAAGATCACTCTACCTCAATTCCATATTCCATATTGCCTCCAGTACGCCTGAGTACTCTGTTATAATTATGTGCACCTCCCAAAAGACCACTATATTTTCATCGGTAACCCATCAGACACCGGCCACAACTGGAATGATAGAATCGTTCCATAGCCCACCATGTCTCGCATCATACTCGTATCTTCTCGGATAATCATCGCATAGCTCCGCAATCCCGCGGATGGCTGAAACAATTTAGCCCCAGTACGACATGCTCAACCCATGCAGTCTAGACTTTTCAAATTATCCGCGCTTCGGCGGAGTATTAGCTCCTGCATGTAAGACGGGTTCGTCTTGCATACATATGCACTTTCAACTTAATTCAGCATAATCATGATATCGGATGGAAGGAAGCTTATGCTCCTACTGGCAATGTATTGTATAATTGTGTAGTTGTCGAGTACATTTAATAGAACTACTCTCCGGCGTATCTCGAGACCATTTACACAACAACAAACACATTTTGTTTTTCAAATTACCCACATGTCTCCCTGGTTGTACAGTTCTCGCCCGGGCTCAGGCACGGGCTCGAGCTCGAGCTCAACGGGCATCCCTACTCCCCTTCCAAGTGATGACCCGGCAGTCATCGTGGGCATGGCATGTCGTGTGCCTGGAGCATCCAGTCCAAGTGCCTTGTGGAACTTGATCGAGCAGCAGAAAGACGTGCAGCGGAAGATGCCTGAGAACAGATTCAACGTTGATAGTTTCTACCACCCCGATGGTAAAAATAAGGGAACGGTATGAGGTCTCTCCAATTTATTGTTGAATCACTTTCTCACTGACCGTTCAGACAAATGCTCGATATGGCTACTTTTTGGATCAGGACCTTGGGGCGTTCGATCCGGGATTTTTCAATATCTCGGGAAACGAGGCTGAGGCTATGGACCCTCAGCAGAGATTGTTGCTCGAGGTTGTTTACGAGGCCTTGGAAGATGGTACGCAACGATTTCCACTTGTGTTACTTCATACTAACGATACCAGCTGGCATCCCTCTGGACAAGGTCGCTGGATCACAGACATCCGTGTTTTGTGGTTCCTTTACAAACGACTACAACTCCACCATTACGAAAGACCTGGAGTACTATCCTAAATATACTATCACAGGCACAGGAAACTCCATTCTGTCCAACCGTATCTCATACTTCTACAATCTTCACGGAGCAAGTGCCACCATTGACACCGCCTGCTCTTCTTCCTTGGTTTGCTTCCACCTCGGAAATCAGACGCTACAGGCTGGAGAAGCGTCTATGTCCATTATTCTAGGCTCGGCCTTGCACTTTGATCCGAACATTTTTATCACCATGACTGATCTTGGGATGCTCTCTACGGATGGCCGGTGCCGTGCCTTTGACGCCGATGGCTCAGGCTACGTCCGCGGTGAAGGTATCTGTGCAATCATTCTAAAGCGGAAGAGCCAGGCCGAGTTGGATGGCGATATCATCCGAGCCATTGTCCGCGGGACGGGCGTGAATCATGATGGAACGAAGCAAGGCATTACTCTGCCATCGTCTGAATCGCAGGAAGCGCTCATCAGACAGGTCTATCGCACAGCAAGACTGGATCCCAGAGATACGTCGTACTTTGAAGCTCATGGAACGGGAACCCGCGCGGGTGACCCACGAGAAACCCGAGCTATTGGGGCGGTATTTGCCCCTGAACGGGAAGGTTATCTCCACCTGGGATCTGTCAAATCGAACATTGGTCATTTGGAGGGTGCTTCCGGTGTGGCAGCTCTGATCAAGGCGACACTTTCTCTGGAAAAGGGAAAGATCCCTCCAAACATGCATTTCAATACCCCAAACCCGAATATCAATTTCGATGAATGGAAACTGAAAGTCCCTACCAAGACGCTCGACTGGGATGCCCCGAACGGACTACGTCGGGCGAGTATCAATTCCTTTGGTTACGGAGGAACGAATGGACATGTCATCCTCGAGGGTCACTACGCACCGCAAGACAGACCGTGGGAAAAGCTTGACTTGGCCTTTGACCTCGAGGGAATGACACAAGAACGACCATTCCTGTTCCCATTGACCTCGCACTCAGTCAAAGCCGGGAAGCTTACGGGCGAAGCATTCTCGAATTATGTCGAGGAACGGCCGGAACTTGATATCCGCGACCTGGCTTATAATTTAAGTGTGCGACGCTCTATGCACAAATTCCGGTCGTTTGCTGTCAGCAATGATGCAGACACTCTTCTGGGTGATTTCGTGGATCCTCTGCCAGTTGCCGCCTGGACCGCAGCTCAGTCTGAGAAGCCTCGTATCGGATTCGTTTTCACTGGTCAGGGAGGGCAATGGTTCGCCATGGGTCGAGAACTCATTCAAAAGTCGCCTCTATTTAAGCAGACCTTGCAGAGATGCGACAAGATCCTTGGTCAGCTCCCCGACGCACCAGAGTGGTCCGTTGTCGACGAACTTCTTAAGTCCCAGGCGACTTCTCGTCTCGGCGAGACTCAGTTCTCTCAGCCTTTGTGCACCGCGCTGCAGCTGGCCCTGTGCACCTTGCTCACTCAGTGGGGCATCGAGCCAACTGCGGTGGTGGGACACAGCAGTGGTGAAATGGGTGCCGCCTTTGCCGCCGGAATCCTGTCCTTTGAGAATGCCTTGATTGCCGCTTACTACCGAGGTTTGTACATGTCCAACGGCCCGGACAATGGCGTCAAAGGCAGCATGATGGCGGTTGGTCTGACTGAGGAGGAGGCCCGACTCGAGATTGAGCCGTACAAGGGACGCATCGCTGTGGCAGCCACCAACAGTCCATCCAGCATCACCCTCTCTGGGGACGAAGATGCCATTGTGGAATTGAAGAAAGACTTGGTGGATAGAAAGGTCTTTGCCCGTCAACTGCAGGTCGCCCAGGCTTTCCATTCGCACCATATGTTTCCGCTGGCCCCCGGTTACCTGCAGGCGTTGGAGAAGCATACCAAGTTCGCCGCTCTCCCAGCCCAGCGTCATATGTTCTCTAGTGTCACAGCCAAGGCCGCTCAGCCTAGCCTGATGGGCCCTCAATACTGGGTTGACAACATGGTTGGCACTGTACGATTCACCGAAGCCCTGAGTGGGATTCTCGTCGACGAGGAGGGCAAACAGGCCGTGGATGTTCTCATGGAAATCGGTCCCCATCCAGCATTGAAGGGGCCCTCTCGACAGACCGTTCAGTCTCTCAAGCTCGACATCCCCTATCTGAGTTCTCTGACTCGTGGAACCCTCGACTATGAGGGACTCCTGACCGCCGCTGGCCAACTTTTTGCTCTCGGATACCCGGTCGACCTTGCGGCTGTGAACAGCGACCACTTCTTGGATGAATCCGGTGTCATCCAGGAGGTCAACAAAGCCCAGCGCTTGCGAGACATGCCAAAGTATTGCTGGGATCATAGTGCGCGGTACTGGGCAGACACTCGCGTGATCTCCGAGCATAGACTCAAGAAACACCGCCACGCTATCTTGGGAACACCACTTGCTGGCTCTGTTCCCGGATCTCCCCGTTGGCGCAATTTCCTTCGCCTCGACGAGCTTCCATGGCTGGCTGACCACAAGATCGATGGTGATGTCGTCTTCCCCGCGGCCGGCTACATCGCCATGGCGGTTGAAGCCATCGCCCGGCTGGAGGATGGGCCAGCATCAATCTCCCAGTTCTCTCTCCGGGATGTCTCCATCAAAGCTGCTTTAGTCCTCGATGAGTCAGCGATGGGCAAAGAGGTCATGTTGGACTTGAGACCGCATTCCACATCCACCAAGCCCACTCCAGATGCATGGTACGAATTTTTCATCGTCTCCTTTAGCAGCTCGGGAGCAGACAATACAGAGCACTGTCGGGGGCTGATTTCCGTTCAGGAGGGACCAGTTGGATCCATTGATCGCAAGGAGCCGTATTCTGGTTTCTCTGAGCTTCGGGCCAAGAGTGTCAAATCCCTTATCCCGCGCACTTTCTATGAACGGATTCACTCTCTGGGGCTTCAGTACGGCGAAAGCTTTGCACTTCTTACCGGACAGATCGAGAGTGGTGCTGGATTTGCTACAGCACCTCTCAGTTGGAAATCGGACAAGTTCAACTCTCCAGCGCCTTCACATGCAACTCTGATCCATCCCAGCCTCCTGGATGCCGCATTGCACACTATCTTTGCGGCTGTTGAAGGTCGCACGGGAAAGCCCATCACTGGGCCTTATGTCCCAACTTTCCTGCGCTCGTTGCAGATCTCTGGGGCTTTCGCCGACAGTGCCTTCCTAGCAGCAGACCACGAATTCCAGGTCTCTACTGAAATCGATCTCCAGGGCACTCGTCTTGTCACCAGTGATTTACGGCTGCAATCCGACGATAACCGGCAGTTGCTATTGGACATCCAGGGTCTCGAGCTGACTAGTTTGGGTACGTCGGACTCGTCCACTCGCTCCTTGTTCTTCCGCACAAATTGGAATGTGGCATTTGAGTTTTTGAACAGGCCACACGCACCGGTGCCAGATAGTTTGGCTGGCTTGGTTGACATATTTGCCCATCAATTCCCGGATTCGAAGATCCTACACATCACGCCCACTCCCGATTCATCTAGGGAAGTTTTGCGGTTCTTAGGTGGAAAGAATGCCGAACAGCGCCGGTTCCACTCCTTGACGCTACTTCCAGTGGCCGAAGAAGTACTCAGTTCTGTTGAGCGGATACAGTCGGAATGGCCATCTTTGATTAAGCTGGAAGACCCCAAGGAGGGTGAATATGACCTCATCAT